TGCCAAATGCTTTCTATAATACACAATCTCATTTTATGCTCGCATCAACCTGTAAGATGAGTACTGAAGGTATTACTATCCTTATTTTCCAGATGAGTAAAACAGAGACTGAGATTCTGACTTGCCCAAGGTCACATGGCTAGTAATAATAGCTGACACTTATTTAATAGCACTTTAAGGTTCACAAAGTGCTTCCCATATATAGTATTATTTCATTGTATCTTCACAACAACCCTGTGAGGTAAGTGGTTCTAATATCCCCATTCTACAGATGAGGACACTGAGGCTGAGAGGGATTGAGTAAGTGACTTACACAGGATTCAAACCCAAGTTTTAGGAACTCCAAGTCTAGGACTTTATCCATTATTACCCCACTTCTAACTTAGAGGGGTAATAAGGCTCTAGCATCCATGAGTCTCTAATAAGCTCTGTGACTTCCAGATGGCCACAGGAAAAAGGCTTTCTTACTCAGGCCTAAGAATGTGACCCATCAACTCTCAGAATTTGAAACTAAAAGATGTTTTACATGAATGCTAAATTTTTATGTGCACCTGGGAAATATTTAATGAAATAAATAAAAAATATTTCAAAAAACAAAGTCTATGCTATAACAGAACTCAAAAGAAGAGATAGGAGAAGACATTCTTACTCCCTCCTACTCTCCCTTTTGCAGAGGTGAGAGTCCCACAGAAGTTGTACATTATATATAGTTTGAGGCTTTTTTACGTACTTATCAATCACGCTGATTTTTTCCACTTCTTTTTCTTTTTTTTTTTTGTCTTTAAAAAGTGCTACTTGTTAAATGGGATGACTCTTCTAGGGGAAGATGGAAGGGCAATGGGAAAAACTGAGTAATGTTAAAAAAAAAAAGGCATCAATAAAAATATATTTTTTAAAAAGTCTGTGTCTCATGTTCTAAGGTTCCTTCCAGTTCCAACATTCTAAAGTTCTAGGATTCCAAGTCTCATTCATTGACATTTAGAAATTTTTAGAAAGATTCCAGAACCAGGATTCAGGAGACCTGAGAACTGATTTTGGGGTTCTGTCCTCCCCCTAGAAGAGGAGAAAGAATGCCAACACTTTTAAGTCTGGACTCCTCTGTCTGGCTTTTCAAGGCTCCCTCTGCACTCCAGTCCTTGCCTGCCTAGCTGGAGTGATCTCCTCTGCCTCCCCATCATGTATCCTTTTCTGTACTCTAGGTTGCTTCTTCACTGTATATATTAGGTACATCACTCTCGTTCCCACCTCCACACCTTTGTCTTCTTCGCCCACCTCAAACATTCTCCTTCTCTTCAGTCTAATCCAAATTCTGTCTATCCCTCAAGGTCAGTTGAAGTCCCATCTCTCCCAATAAGTCTCTCCTGATCCCCAAAATACTAGTGCCCTCTCTCCCAAATTACCGTAACAAAATTTGATGATTTTGTATTTATTTCTATTAATTCTCTATCTATTTATATGCCCATTGCCTTCCCCTTTAGACTATCAGCTCCTTTGTTGCCAAGAAGGGATTGTTTGATTCACTGAATTTTGATCCTCATTGCTGAGCAGTGTCTGGGACACAGTAAGTGTTTAATAAAAATTTGACAATTGTTTAGTTGATGCAAAGGAACCTTAAAACATAGAAAGTATGAACTGGAAGGAACCTTAGAACCAAGAATGTTATGACTGGAAGAAACATTAAACAGAATATTAGGGTGGTCTCTTAAGATAGTCTCTTAGAGACTATCTAACCCCTCCATTTTCTTGTTTTTTAAATTTAATTCATTTTGAACTTAAATACAAAAATACAAAAAAAAAGAGAAAATTTCCATGTACACGGCACAACATAAAAAGAGGAGTCTACTAGCTGTGTGACCCTGCACAAGTCACTTAACAACAATTGCCCTTAAAAAAAAAAGAATAGTCAATATAAAACCATGAATTTCCATTTCACACTGTTTACTTTTTTAAAAAATCTATGTATTAAATACTACACATCATTTTCAAAGCTACCCTGCTTTTCTGTGCTTTCTTCTAAGTTGTCTTTTGTTGTCTCCATGCATGTTTTCTCTCCCACCTCCACCCCACTCTAGAGAAGGCTACAAATTAGGCACAAAAATATATATGTATGTAAAACCATACTATACATGCTTCTAGTTATCAGTTCTTGTTCTGGATATGGATAGCATCATTCTTCATAAGTGCTTTGTAGTTGGATATTTCTACTACTCAAAATGACTTATTCATTCAAAGCTGTTCTTAGAATAGTACTGCTGTTACTGGGTACAATGTTTTCTTGGTTTTGCTCATTTCACTCTTTATTACTTCATGCAAGTCTTTCCATGTTTTTCTAAAATCAACCAGCTCATCATTTCTTATGCTACAGCAGTATTCCTAATCCCTCCATTTTCAGAGGAAGAAAGCAATTCTGTGATTAGGGGCAAGGGCCATTCTTGGAACTATTTTATGGTATGTGGGTCCTACTGGTCAGTCACAATGGACAGATGCTCCTCAGAAAGGTTAACCCTGAATACCTAATGCTAGTGCTGGATTTGGAGGTGATTCACTCCTTGGTAACAATTCCTACCTTATCACTGAGTCTCCCAGGCTCATTTCAGTTCAAAATAGCTCTCAAGTATTATTCCTTCTGCAGTTGAAGATGATGACAAGAGGCAACTTCATTATTTGCTAACATGTAATTCTAAATAAATCTTCCCCTTCCCCCTAAAATTCCCCCTAGCTCTCACCTGACTGATAGTGAGGCCCTTTCCTGGATTAGGACCCATATGGGAACTATCTTGTGAGGGGTACTAGGGTTAGGAGGGCTAGGAATGCAAATAAACAATAGTGTTAATTATTTATTCATTTTTATTATTTATTCATTTTTATTATTTATTAATTTAATGGGATTAATCTGCAGACTTAATCAGAAGTGAAACTAAGTAGAACTGGGGAGATTCCTTCCCTGACAGTATTGAACCCCTCCTTCTATCTTATTTTTTGGGGGGTGAAGTAATTGCAGTTATGTGACTTGCCCAGAATCACACAGCTAGTGAGTGTTATGTGTCTGAGGCCTGATTTGAACTCAGGTCCTCCTGACTCCAGGGATGGTACTCTATCCACTATGCCACCTAGCTGCCCCTCTCTCTATCTTCTCTCTCAGAGCAATGACAAGCTCAGCCTGTCAAAAGGCTAGGAGATGGAAAATCAATCAAGGAGCATTCATTAAGTGCCTCCTAGGTGCCAGGCACTGTTTTAGGCACTGGAGAGACAAAGACTAAAATTCAGAAGTCCTTGTCCTCAAGAAGTTTGCATTATAGCAGGGAAAACAACATATATGTGTGTATATGTGGATGGATATACATATACACAAACATACATACACACATAAATGTTGTTTCCCCTACTATAATGTACAACATGCTTCATGTTATATATAACATATATACATGTGTATATATGCTAATACATATATACATGTGTGTATATACATACAAGTATACCTATGTGTATGTACATATATAAGAGTGTGTACACATATTTATATTTATGCACACCCACACAAAATATAACAGATACACAATACAAATATATACACAAGAAAAATTTTGGGAGACACTGGCAGCTGCCAGGGGGTGGGGTGGGGTCAGGAAAAGTCTCACATAGGAGAAGATGGTGTTTCAGCTGAGTTTTCAAGGAAGATCAGGATTCTAAGAGGAGCAGGTGAGGAAGGAGGGAATTCCAGGCTTAGGGGACAAGCTTAGTAAAGAAAAGCATCAAGACAGGAGATGCAGTGTCACATAAGGCAAGAGCACATAGGCCACTTTGGTTGGATTGTAGATTATGTAGAGGGGAATGTGGTGTGATCAGCTTAGAAATCTGCAGACTGTGAGGGCTTTATGTGGTAGACAGAAGTGTTTGGATTTGATCCTAGAGGCAATAGGGAGCCATTGCAACTTTTTGAGCAGGGGAGCACCATGCTTTAACCTGTGTTTTAGTAATATCACTTTGGCAGCCCAAAGCAGAATAGATTGAAAAGGGAAGAGATGTGAGGCAAGAAGAACAAATAGGCTTTTGCAATGATCCAGGTGAGTGGTGACGAGAACCTGAACTAGAGTGGAAGCTGTGTGAGGGGAGAGGAGTTAGATGATCCCTTCATGCACTCTCCCTCCCTCTCACCTCTGATCTACCTACCTCTCCAGTAGCCTCATAAGCCTGGCACACACCCCACGCAGCCCCGATTTCATCTCAGTCTCATCTCTGCCCCGCACCCCCAACTCCCAGGGATCTGTTGACATTCCTTCCCCCTCCTAGTCCCATAGCTCCTCTTATTCTCTAACCAGGCATTCCATCCCCCATCCCCCATCCCCTCCAAACCTTTGGAAAGCTCTTCCCTTATAGGCTTGGAGCACTCTCCGTTACTCTCTCCATCCTCCCCTCCTCCAGGAAGGCTCTCCAACTCTACTTACCCCACTTTGCCTCCCTTCAATCCCTTCCCCATTCGCCCAGCCTTGATTTCCAGAATTTTATTTTACTGGAGAACCTGTCCTTGCCTCTCATTTCCTGACATCTGGGCATATGTCTTCTCAGTCAAAGGAAGAGTTCACCGAGGTCAGGATCTGTGTGTATACAATCAGGCTGACAGCTCTCAGAAGGAAGAAATAGTGTGTGTAGCTGTTAGAGTGGGACCTAGATGGGGAAGGAGGAGGGACAGTATCTGCTCTTACCAGAGGAGAGAGCTCTATCTCCCCTTTACACAGATTTCCCCCCTCCTTCCTGCTTTGAGAGCCAGCTCTGCACACAAGGGGTGCTGAATGTCACTGATCAGCTGACTGACTGAGGGCAACCTCAACTTTCTCTACTTGGAACTGAGTCCACTCCTTCAGCCTGCTTCAGCCTGTTGACCTCAGACTTCTCTGAAATCTATCTCCTCCAGCACAGGGAGCCAAAGACCAAGTGAGAAGGACCAGTGGAAGGCACAAAAGGGAGACAGACACATTGTTTCCATGAAACTTGCTTTTTATTAAGGAACGAGGAAGCAGTCATCTATAGCCCTTCTGCAGGTGCAGAGGTGGAGGACTTAGAGCTCGCCAAACTGGAAGCCCACAGGTGCTGCCCCAAAAGTGGGAGGATAAGAGGTTCAGCAGACTCCTGGCCTTGTGGGAAGTTCTCTGGTATGCAAATGAGATCAATCAGAAGGTGGAACTATCACCACACAAAAGGCTCTTCTGACCTGGAAGGGAGGAGGAAGAGGGAGTATGCTTCCCAGCCAAGGTTTAGGGGATGTATGTACAACCTGGAGAGGATGGGGAGACTCCTTTATGAAGGGATGAGCTGATCAGAGACGAACAGTTTTGATTACCATCTGAGACTGGCCAAAGGAGGAGATCAGGGTATAAGGAGGAGGCAAGAGCCAGCAGGGCAGAAATACAGAATCCTGGTCTTGGGGAAAGGAAAAATGGAGAAAAGAGGTGAGGATCATAAAGTGAAGGCAGAGGATTGACTCTCTCTAATTCCTAGAAGGGACCACGTTTTAGCCTTATATCTCCTCTGTTGCTTAGCACAGGGCATTCCACAGTGTAGTTACTTAATGATAGCTCCTAGAACCAATGGATGAATAAATAGTCTAGAAAACCACAGGAGTCGGTCAGAGGCCAACGGGGAAAAGAAGGCACCAGTCGTTCAGCAAACCTACATGAAGCCTGTCTTGTGGCAAGGGCCTGTGCTAAGCGCCAAAGACAACTATACAAGACTCTGCTGTCAAGGAACTGATAATCTAATAGATGGTGGTTGGGGGAGGGGAGAAGTAAAGCGGGTCTAGGAGGAAGGGGTGAATTCACCCAGACTTGCTGTACTGGTTTCCGCTGCTGTCCGGAAAGAGACTCTCAGCTAGCCGGACTTCGGTAGTGTCCCTCTTCCCATACCTAGAGGCAGAGCAAGAAGAACAAGAGGAGAGGGGAGGGAGTCAGCGCTGGTCCCGCCCCTTGCTCTCGTTTTCACGGTGAGAGGGTTGGTGGTGCTACCCTGGCTAGAGATCTTGGGGGACTGTCGGTGCCCCAGAGCCCAAGAGTGACGGGTGAGAGTTGAGGTTAATGAAGAGATACTGGAGGTGGCCTCAAAATATGTCCCGCCCTGTCCCATCCGCCCACTATTCCTTCCTCCCTGGCGGGCAGGAGAGAAGCCGAGCAAAGGCGTGGAGTGCCCCCGGGGCGTGTAACACACACACACACACACACACACACACACACACACATATCCCTGGGTACAGAGCTTCGGATCCTCACCGCTGCCTGGTGACCAAATTGAGATACTGCCGAAGGGCAGCGTAGTACCGACTGAGCTCCTCCCGGGAAGCGTTCTCACTCGGGGGCTTAGGCTTCGAGGGGTAACCCTCCACCAGAGCCCCTAGGCAGGCCAGCAGAGCCAGTAGCGCTGCAGTCGAGATCGTCCATGGCTTCCGAATAGTCATCACCTGCAGAGGGAGAGGGAAGGGGTAACCTCAGTCTCCCCACCACATCTCTCCCTTCACCTTCCCAACTTTCCTCCCCATTCACTCTCTCCAAGACCCCCAGGAACAGCCAAAGGATTTTAGGATTCAGAGCTGGAAGGGACCTTAGAGTCCAACCTTCTCATTTTACAGAAGAGCCAGCTGAGGCTCAGAGAGAACTAATTTGCCCAGGGTCACACAGGTAATAACAAACACTTATGCACACTTAGGAACAGACACCTAAGTACATTCACAAACACACCCACATTGGGTATTTTCCCAATTCCAGATTGTACACTTGAGTGGTGTGGGAATCAACTTACTGGCCCACCTCCCCATCACTCCCCTGGCTCTTCCTTACCCTCCACCTACAGAAGCCTTGTTATCAGAAGGAAGGAGGGGACCCTGTGAGAAAAGAGCCAGCCAGAGGCTTGGTTAAGGCATTCTTCTGCCCTTCTTACCACAACCTTGCCAGCCCCAGATACCACTCTTCTTATTCCCTCCTCACACCAGACATGGCAAGACCCTCAGATTTAGGGAGCTCTAAGAGGACCATCTAGATCCTTTAGCCCCAGACCACCCTACCCTCTATTAAAGACTCCCCTCCTCTTGCCCCTGTTTGGTTAATGGGGGAGTCTCAGACCCAAGTGCCCTCCTCAGTCCCAGTTCCTCTCATTACTCTCCTGGTCTCCTAACTCTCAGAGCTAAGTGCTCCAAGTCTCCTGCCATCCCACTGTCAGTTTTCTTCACTTCCTTGAAGATAGTGGTCTCCTTCCACCACCCCTTCCTGCTGCCCCCAAACCCTCCCTTGCTTGTACCTTGTTTAATTAATTAATACTCACAGTATTAATATGGGAGGTTGGGAGCAAGAAGGAGATAAAGTAAGAATGGAGTTAGTTTAGGGATTTTAGCTGTTTGCTGGGTCCAGCTGACTCCCTCCTGGGTTCTTTCCTCCTGGGGCTTATATTACTGCCTGGGAGGGAGGGGAGGGAAAAGGAGAGGGCAATTAAGAGAGGGGGAGGGGAAAGGAGGGGGTGATAAAGAGAGGGAGAGGTCCCTCCCTCCCTGTTTAACAAGATCCTGGCTTCTTCACTGGCACTGAGGAAGGTGCTGTTGCTACCTCCTTAGGAACTGGTGTGGGTTAGATTGATAGAGACGAGGACAAGGATCCCTCTGGAGAGGAGGCCCCATTCTCATCCTATCTACTCCACTCAGGTGAACAAAGAAAGGACCAGGTGTGGTAAGGGTTTAGAATCTATAGGATGTGCACACTGCTTTGAATTCATGCCAAATTTGCCTCTCCCACCTGCTGTCCATCTAGACATTTCTGTGATCAGTAATAACTCCCTTCCCAGAAAGATCTCAACCCATCAGAGTAGAAGAAGGGACCAGACTAGCTGGCTTCTAAGGTCTCATTCTAACATTTATTCAGCATCCTTGCATGGGGAAAGGAGAGAGAATAGAGACTCCTTTGGAAAGGGGGGGGGGCAGTGTTTTAGATATATATATATATATATATATATATACATATATTTGCTTTTTGGTGAGGCAATCAGGGTTAAGTGACTTGCCCAGGTCACACAGCTAGTAAGTGTCATGTGTCTGAGGCCACATTTGAACTCGGGTCCTCCTGACTCCAAGGCTGCAGCTCTATCCACTGTGGCACCTAGCTGCCCCATGGGGGGGCCAGTTAGAGGTATCAGCTGAAGCATGGAAAAAGGAAAATCTCTTTTACATTGAGGTTGGGCACTGGACTGAATAACTTTTGGGCCCCATGACTTCACCTGGAAAGGAAGAAGAGCCAGGTTATCAGGCCTAAAGACCCTTGCAAAGTCCTCTCTCCAAAAGGAAACAAGGGGCAGCTAGGTTGCACAGTGGATAGAACACTGGCCCTGAAGTCAGGAAGACCTGAGTTCAAATCCGGCCTCAGACCAAACACTTGACATGCACTAGCTGTGTGACTTTGGGCAAGTCACTTAACCCCAATTGCCTCACTCAAAATAAAAAATAAAAAACAAATAAAAAAAACAAAAGGAAACAAGTATTTATTACCTTACCAGGCAGTGTGCTAAGTGCTTCACAAATACTAGCTCATTTGATCCTCATGAAGGAAGTAAATGCTAGTATTATCTCCACTTTACAGTTAAGGAAACTGAGGCAGAAAGAGTTTAAGTGACTTGCCCAGCTTACCCTGTAAATGTCTGAGGCTAGATTTGAACTTGGGTAGCCCTAACTCCAGGTCTAGCGCTCTATCCACTGTATCACTTAGACTCCTCTACCTCTACATATACTAGGATATGTATAGGACACACATATATAGGAAACTTTACAAGTTTCCATTGCCAGAAATAGTTGCATCTTGGCTGACACTGGGGCCAGTCAGGTACAAGCCAGGCAAAGGGGGCCAAAGAGGCTATCAGTGATTGGAATCCTGCCTGACCAGCCATTCAAGACCACCTTCCTGAGAAATGGTGAGGTTTTGTTGAAACTCTCCAACTTCAAGAACAATCTTTATTATGTCAAAAATGTCTCAGGTCAATACCCAGGAACTGTCCAAATCCTTGGATGTTTCCCTCAAGACCTGTTTTTAAGGAATAGTTCCCCAAGGTGAGTCTGGGTTGGAACAAATCCCAGAACAACACATTGTCCCTTGGCTTAGGCTGGGATAGGGAAGATCTTACACATTAACCCTTCAGGTTCAAATACAGCAGTGGAAAGTGATAAGCACTCAGATCCTTGGGCTATCTCCCAAGTCTCATGAAAAATAAAAGATGACTCCCTCCAGCCCCTCACTTCACTTCCCAATCCTTCCCATTTTACTTTGGGGTCTGAAAACAAGAATTACACCAGGAATGTTCAGGAGATCATGTCACCATTAGACCAATGGCATCACACTAACAGAAGCCTGGACCCTGATATCCCAGTTTCTAGATAAGACTGTGCCGGCCGCGCCATGCACTCTCCTCCTATAAGGAGCAGGCTGCCAGAGTCATACTTAGCAGTCTTCAGTGCCTACCCAGATAAACACACAGAGACGAGCCAACCAGGAGGTGCCAACACCCGAGTTTTATTTAGAGGCCATCACAGCAAGGCCAAGCAGGAAGGCCATAGCAAGAGAGCAGGAGCAAAGAGAGAGCGTGCTCTGACCAGGACGTTCCTTAAGTACCTACTTAGCCCCTCCTCCTCAGCCCGCCTACTAGTCATTGATTGTAGGATCAGATACCAGAAGGGGATGTCTGGGTTTAGCGCACCAAGGGAGAGGAAGTGACGCAGGAGGCTAGGACCGGATACAGGAAGGAGGTGTCCGGGATTAGTGCATAGACAAAGAGAGAGTATGTGATACCCAGATACCAGGAGGAGGCGTCTGGGGTCAGTGCTACACAAAGGGAAGGTACGTGACCCAGGAAGTCAGGAAGGACACAGGAAGGAGACGTCTGGGGTTGACGTTGCACTTAGGGAGGGATTAAGCAAAGGGAACTCGTCCTCTGCTGTCTCGCTCCCACATGGCACAGCCCCCTGCCTCAGGAGCACGTGCTCTGGCTACTTCCTAGTATCCTGTTCTTTCCCCAGCTTATCACAGCTCACATAGCACTGCCCGCTGCCTCAGGAGCATGAGCTCCGGTTACTTCTCCGTATCCAGCCCATCCCAGTTCACCACAACTCCGCCTAGTACAGCCCCTGCCTCGGGAGCGTGAGCTCCGGTTACTTCCTAATACCCAGTTCCTACCCTATCTTGCCACAACTCTCACTTGGCAGTAGCCAACATCAGACAGTCCCTCACATAAGACCATCCCACCTGTGTGGAGAAGACAGATGGCAAATTCAGCACCTTCAACAGCTACTTTGGACCCATGGAAGATTTGGAGAAGGTGGGTGACACAGGTCACATAGGTATGTATCTGCTTGCTACCAAAGCAGCCAGTGGATTTCTAGAAGGTATATAATGATTACATGGAAAATAATTAATTAAGTTTTCCATTTTCCATTCTGCTAGGACATGCTGTATACAGAACCAGAGTCCTAGCTAATAGAAAGGGACAGAGTCAAGCTAACAGACTGAGAGAGATCAAGATAAAGACAGGGAGAAGCTAGATGGGGCAGTGGATAGAGACTGGCCCTGGACTCATAGAAGACCTGAGTTCAAATCTGGCCTCAGACAATTGACAGTTACTAGCTGTGTGACCCTGGGCAAGTCACTTCACCCCATTGCCTAGAGAAAAAAAAAAGATAAAGGCAGAAAGTGAAAGAGACAGAGACAGTGAGACAGATAAAATGAACAGAACTAATAGATTGAAAGAAAGGGAGAGCAGAAACTAAGTACCAATTGTTAGAGAAATGGAGAATGAGATAAGGATTTCAATGGAATTAACAAACAGAATTTTAAAAAATCAAGAGATAGTGAAACATATCAGGAGCAAGGTAGGTATTACACACACATAGAAGGAGAAACAGTGACTGAAATATAGAATCATATCTGGAACATATCTGAAGTGAGACTTTAACTGGGGTCTTCCTGACTCTAGGCCCAGTGCTCTGTCCACTGTGTCACCAGTCACATGGCTTGGGAGGAGAAAGTGAGGCTGGTGACTTTGCACAGCCCTGCCTCACAAATCCAATTCCCTCCCAAGTCATGGTATCACCTTCCTGATGTCATAGTCCTCTTGGAGAATGAAGGACAAACAAAAACAATAACAATCTGCCTCATCAAAAGAGATCAATGAACACAAAATAAAAATTTTTAAAGAGCAGTAGAAAAACAAGTTTCCATCTACTCTGTATCCATATATTGTCAACTCCAATACTCATCAGAATGTTAAGTTATTGAGGGCAAGAATTCTTTTTTTTTTTGCTCTTCCCTTGTCCCTTGGCACTTAGCACAGTGTCTGGCACATAAGAAACACTTAATAAAAGCTTGTTTGTTGATTGACAAAACTAACTTAGTAATTAAGTCTCAGAGAAGCTCGGTGATTCATCCTTGGTCACACAGCTAGCAAGGGTCAGAAGGGGATTTCCTGATTCCAAGTCTAGCACTCTCTCTGCTAAGCTGTGCTGGACTATCCAATTGGCCTGACTCAACTCTTTTTAAAGTTATAGTTGGCTTTGGTGGGATTCACCTTTAAAATATCGCTGTGTATTGTAAG